AAAAAAAAAAAAAAACTTTTCCACTGATTTTTACTGCCTTTAGAATAAAATCCAAACTGTTTTTTTTCTTCTTCTTCTTTTTTGAGACAGTCTCACTCTGTCACCCAGGCTGAAGTGCAATGGCTGGATTAGAGCTCACTGCAGCCTCAAATTCCTGTGTTTAAGTAATTTTCCTGCCTCAGCCTCCTGAGTGCTGGGACTACAGGCATGTGCCACCATGCCTGGTTAATTCTTTTAAATGTTTATCAGAGACGGGGTCTTGCTGTGTTGCCCAGGCTGGTCTCCAATTCCTGAGCTCAAGCAATCCTCCCACCTTGGACTCCCAGAGTTCTGGAATTACAGATGTGAGCCACTGAACCTGGCCTATACTTGTTTTATTTATTTCTTCTCCCCTTCCTTCCCACACTTCCTTTTCTTTTCTCTTTTCTTTTCTTTTTTTTTTTTTTTTTTTTTTAACTCCATCAGCTCTAGGACCTTTTCTTTTCTTTCTTCCTTTCTCTTTCTCACCTTCTTTCCCTCCTTTCTTTCTTTTTAGAGACAGAGTCTTGCTTTGTCACCCAAGCTGGAATGCAGTGCTGTGATCATAGCTCACTGAAGACTCAAACTCTTGGGCTCAAGCAATCCTCCCGCCTTGGCCGCCCAAAGTCCTGGGGTTACAAGCATGAGCCACCACACTTAGCCTAGTGTTTTTGTTTTTGTTTGAGACGGAGTTTTGCTCTTGTCACCCAGGCTGGAGTGCAGTGGTGCAGCCTTGGCTCACTGTACTCTCTGCCTCCCAGGTTCAAGTGATTCTCCTGCCTCAGCCTCCCAAGTAGTTGGGATGACAGGCGCCCACCACCACACCCGGCTAATTTTTGTATTTTTAGTAGAAATGAGGTTTCACCATGTTGTTCAGGCTGGTCTCGAATCTCTGATCTAAGGTGATCTGCCTGCTTCAGCCTCCCAAAGTGCTGGGATTACAGGGGTGAGCCACCACACTTGGACTTGTTTTTTTTTGTTGTTGTTTCTTTGTTTTTGAGACAAAGTTTCACTCTTGTTGCCCAGGCTGAAGTGGCATGATCTAGGCTCATAGCAACCTCTGCCTCCCAGATCCAAGTGATTTTCCTGTCTCAGCCTCCTGAGTAGCTGAGATTACAGGCATGTGCCACCAAGTCCGGCTAATTTTGTAGTTTCGGTAGAGACGGGGTTTCTTCACGTTGGTCAGGCTGGTCTCGAACTGCCACCTCAGGGGACCTGCCCACCTCGGCCTCCCAAAGTGCTGGGACCACACCTGGCCTGGCCTGTTTTTTTTTTTGTATTCGAGATTGAGTCTCTTTCTGTCACCTAGGCTGGAGTACAGTGGCACAATCTTGTCTCTCTGCAACCTCTACCTCTTGGGTTCAAGCAATTCTCCTGCCTCAGCCTCCCAAGTAGCTGCGGTTATAGGCGAGTGCCACCATGCCTGGCTAATTGTTTTATTTCTAGCAGAGATGGGGTTTTGCCATGTTGGCCAGGCTGGTCTTGAGCATCTGACCTCAGGTGATCTGCCTGCCTTGGCCTCCCAAAGTGCTGGGGTTACAGGAGTGAGCCACCACACCCGGCCCCCTGTTTTATGTTTTAAATAGTACTCATCACTAGCTGAAATTATATTTGTTTACACATTCTTTGTTCCCCTCTCTAGAATGTAAGCTCTACAAGAGCAGGACCCCTATCCTGCTAATTGCTGAATCCCCAGTGCCTAATGCAATCCCTAGAACATTGTAGTGTTCAAATTATTTGTTTTGTTTTGTTTGACATGGAGTCTCCCTCTGTTAACCAGGCTGGAGTGCAGTGGCGTGATCTCAGCTCACTGCAATCTCCACCTCCTGGGTTCAAGCGATTCTCCTGCCTCAGCCTCTCAAGTAACTGGGACTACAGGCGCGTGCCACCATGCCCGGCTAACTTTTTTGTATTTGTAGTAGAGACGGGGTTTCACCGTGTTAGCCAGGATGGTCTTGATCTCCTGACATCACGATATGCCCCCCTCCACCTCCTAAAGTGCTGGGATTACAGGTGTGAGCCACCTTGCCTGGCCTTCAAACTGTTTAAGAAATTAATGAATCATCAATCTCCTGAGACCAGGGATTGCACTTCTTGTTCTTTATTTCCTAATCCTTTTAGAAAAGGACTCAGGCTTGCAATCTTCCCTCCATCCCATCCCCATGCTGCCCACCCAGTGGGAGGACTCACTTGGCAAAGGGGATGAGGTTGTCTCCATCTTCCTGCACCCACATCACTGGACTGGGCTGGGTAGCTAGTCTCCTCTTTGGTGCTGGGAGGATAATGGAAAATAAGTCATTCATTCATATAATGGCTATAGGGATGAAACCAGTAGCAGGTCTAAAGATTGAAAAAAGAATGATCAGCCTGACCAATATGGTGAAACCCCATCTTTAAAAAAAAAAATGAAAAAATGTGCGGATGCTGAAAAAAGGGAGAGCTTAAAAGGCATTTGTAGCAGCCAGGTGTGGTGGTGGCCCATGCCTGTAATCCTAGCACTTTGGGAGGCTGAGCAGGTGGATCACAAAGTCAGGAGATCAAGACCATCCTGGCCAACATGGTGAAACCCCATCTCTACTAAAAATACAAAAATTAGCTGGGCATAGTGCCACATGCCTGTAATCTCATCTACTCTCGAGGCTTAGGCAGGAGAGTTGCTTGAAGCAGAGAGTCAGAAGTTGCAGTGAGCCGAGATGGCACCACTACATTCCAGCCTGGCAGCAGAGCAGGACTGCATCTCAAAAAAAAAAAAAAAAAGGTATTTATAGTGCTGGACTATTAATTGAACATTCACGTTGAAGACAGCACAGGAAAAGTGGATGTGGTAAAAGATAAAGAAGAAAGGAAATGTTCTGAAGTTAAATGTGCAGAATAAGTGGAATTTACAGATAGCAGTTAAGCAATAACTGGCAGTATGGGACAATGAAAATGAAAAATGATGACAGTGGAGACTGGCTGGGGTGGAGACATTTTAGGATGTCAAGAGAAGTGGCATAATTGAGGGTTATCAATGAATCAATTATGAGTGGTTAGTCGAAGTTTAAGTGTGTGCCTGGGCGCAGTGGCTCACGCATGTAATACCAGCAATTTGAGGGGCCGAATCGTGAGGATTGCCTGAGCTCAGGAGCTGGAGCCCAGCCCGGGCAACACAGAGAGACGTCGTTTCTATTAAAAAAAAAAAAAAAAAAAGGGCTGGGCGCGGTGGCTCACGCCTGTAATCCTAGCACTTTGGGAGGCCGAGGCGGGTGGATCACGAGGTCAAGAGATCGAGACCATCCTGGTCAACACGGTGAAACCCCGTCTCTACTAAAAATACAAAAAATTAGCTGGGCATGGTGGCGCGTGCCTGTAATCCCAGCTACTCAGGAGGCTGAGGCAGGAGAATTGCCTGAACCCAGGAGCGGAGGTTGCGGTGAGCCGAGATCGCGCCATTGCACTCCAGCCTGGGTAGCAAGAGCGAAACTCCGTCTCAAAAAAAAAAAAAAAGTGTGGACATAATGGGCAACTGGTGACAGTGTAGGAGGGGGCAGTTGGGAATGCCTATGGATAGGAAGGTGAGCAGGGAGGTCAGTTGCATAGCTAAAATTAGGGACAGCCAAAGATGACCTGAAGGCCAGTTGGGGTGGGGAGAAAAGGCAGTTAAGGCTGGGCACAGTGGCTCACGCCTGTAATTCCAGCAATTTGGGAGGTGGAAGTGGGTGGATTGCGTGAGCCCAGAAGTTTGAAACCAGCCTGGGCAACATGGTGAAAACCTCTCTCTACAAAAATATTTTAAAAATTAGCCAGGTGTGGTCGTGTGCACTTGTACCCGGAAGGCTGAGGTGGGAGGATCATCTGAGCCTGGGAGGTCAAGGCTGCAGTGAGCTGAGATGGAACCACTCTGCACTCCAGCCTGAGTGAGACCCTGTCTCTAAGGGGAAAAAAAAAGTGGACTGTAATCCCAGCACTTTGGGAGGCCAAGGCGGACCACTTGAGGTCAGGAATTCGAAACCAGCCTGGCCAACATAGTGAAACCACGTCTCTACTAAAAATAAAAAAATTAGCCAGGCGTGGTAGTGAGCGCCTGTAATCCCGCTACTTGGGAGGCTGAGGCAGGAGAATCGCTTGAACCCAGGTGGCGGACGTTGCAGTGAGCTGAGATCGCACCACTCCACTCCAGCCTGGGCGACAGAGCGGGACTCCGTCTGAGAAAAAAAAAAATGCTAGATCAGTTAGGAGAGTGCATGTAGGCTAGGACAGAAACAGCTGGTTGGAACTGCAGAGGTGACTCGGATTTATCCTAGGGAACTAGGGATGGGCTGAGAAAGCAGGTGGGGTGAAAAGCAGAGAGAGAAGTATGTGGAACTGAAGCGGCAGATGGGGCTAGCTGGAGTTAGGCTGAAAGGGATGTCCTGACTCAGGGCGGTCAGCAGAACCTGGGGGGCAGCGGGAGCTGCGGGGCATTTGGGCCTCAGATAGTTGGGCCCGAGCGGGTGACCTAGATCCAAGGGCAAGACAGAGCTAAGGAAGCCAGGAAGGATCCTCCACAGTTGACCTCGGGGTGGCCCCGGCCTGGGAGGGTGGATGAGGACCCAAGGGTCAGGCTGGGGCTGAGGGGCTGCCTGGAGTCTGGAGCCCCGCTGGAGGGAAGCGCGGGGCCGGAGAGCGCGGCCTGGGCCTGAAGGGGCGACTGGGACCCTCTGCAGGTGGACCGGACGTGGCCGGACCTTCCGGGCAGCCCAGCCCGAGGGCACGACTGGGGACCTGCATCCCCCCCGAAGAGGGGCCCTGAGGTGGTGGGCCCAGGCTGAGGGGCCGGCTGGGGCCTGAGGGGAGTCCTGGGCCTGAGAGAGCGGCTCCGGCCTGAGGCGGCACCGGGGCCCGAAGGGATTGTTGGGGCTTGAGGCGGCGGCCTGGGCGACCGAACTTGAGGGCCAGGCGGGGACAGAGCGCCCGAGGAGCCGCACCACGGCTGGCCGCACTTGGCCTCAGCACCTGAAGCAGCTGCGCGGCGAATTCTAGAACTCGGCGAGGCGGGGAGAAGAGAGACTGCGATTCGAGCAGCGGGAGGAGCTGGCAGGCGGCGCGCTCCTGAGGGTGGAACATGAGCGGAGCCGCCTTCTGGGCGGGGCTCGGCAGGAGGCTCCGCCCCCTGGGCGCGCCTCCGACGGCGGTGACGTGCGCGGGGCCCGGGCCTGCGTCCCCCCGTGGGTCAGCCCCCGACCTTTGCCTGCTCTTTAGGCGTTCGCAACCCTTCTGTAGCGCGGCGTCTGCCCCGCCTTCCGCGTCCGGAGCTCAGTTCCCGCGTCCCCGCTCGCTGGGCCCCATAGGCCGGGAGCGTTGCCCCTTTAACAAGAGAAGCCCGAGTCGCTCCCGGCACCTTCCTGTGACGGCGCGCGGCCGCCCCTCCGCGCGCGCCCGCCCGCGCGTCCCCCGCCCCTCGCTCCCGCCCCAGCTAGCGCTGCCCGGGCGGGCGCCGGCCGCTGGCGCCGCTACTGCTGCCGACCCCGGGGCGCTAGTCCGCCGCCCGCCGCCCGGGGACCCGGCGAGGGGCGGGGGCAGCTCCGAACCGGCCCCGGATCGTCCCCGCTGCCGCCTCAGGCTTCCCGGAAAGCTTGCCCCTCTCACTCCGCCGAGCTGCTCCGGGAGCCCCGTCTCGCCGAGGTGAGGGCTGGGGAAGGGGGAGGGAAGGGACGCCCGCGGAGGAATGTGCCGGCTTGGGGGGCGGGGAGCCGGGGTCCGGGTTGCGTTCCCCGGCGGCGCTATCTAGGCTCGAGAGCCGGAATCATGTGCTGTTTGTTCCGCGGAGGCGCAGAGAGGTGCCAGGCCCGGGCGGCCGCCGGCTGACTGGACAGGAGGACGGGTCCGCATGGCCGCCCAGAGAGACCGGGCGGGGACCTGTGTGAGAACCGCTGGGTGGGCAAGGTGCAGGTGGCCCGAGACCCCCTTTGCGCCCTATCGGCCCCACCCCAGCCGCCCAGTATCCTTCTTGTAGCCCTCTGCTCCTTCACAGCTGCACCAGCCAACCCTGTCCCTACCTCTATTCCCTTACCCCGCCGGCCCCCAGCCGTGCCGCCCCATTCTCTGTCCCATTAGCCACAGCAGCGGCGTCACCATTGCTTGTCGCCACCAGTGTCCTTCCCTCCCCTGGTCAGGGTCTCGGGGGTCAGGGCTGTTCTTCCTGAGCCAGCTTCTGTGATTCCAGCTACTCCCTTCCGGTCTGGGGACAGACCAGTCCTCTCACCATCCCATACTCTGCCCAGGAAGGCCGGTGAGGGGAGGTCCAGTGTGGCAGGAGTTTGGGGCCCACTGGGGCCACAGGAGGGGGCTCAGCATCCCTTATCCTTCTTCATGGTCCTCCTCCCTGCTCTCCGTGGGCGTGGGCTGCTCAACCTCTCCTCCCAGGGTGTGGGCACCCGATCACCCACATTCCTGGGCTTCAGCCTGGCACCTTCCCCAGGACAGTGGACGCCATAGCACTGGCCCCAGGCTAGGACCAGCCGGCTTCCTTTTCTTTTTCTCACTTTCAGGGAGGCCCTAGGGACCCTCTACCCTCAAAGACAGGTATTTCTGGGCGCCTCAAGGGTGGTGCCCTGAGGGTTGGTCTGATGGATACAGGATGACCCCACCCTCCCCTGCCCATTGTCCTGGATCCTGAGGAGGAAGTGCTGGGGGCTGGACAAGGGGCTTTAGAGCCCACAGAGTAGGCCCTGTGGATCCCAGTCCTGGGTTCTCCAGTCCTTGGACTTTGCCCATCAGCAGTACCGGCCTGGTGGGTGGAGACTGTGGGCCCTACGTGGGAACTGGATTCTCTCTTGCTGACCCTGTGGGGAATTTTAGGACAGGTTTTTTTTTTTTTTTTTTTTTTTTTGAGACGGAATCTTCTTCTGTTGCCAGACAGGAGTGCAGTGGCGTGATCTCAGCTCATTGCAATCTCTGTCTGCTGGGTTCAAGCGATTCTCCTGTTTCAGCCTCCCAAGTAGCTGGGACTACAGGCGTGTGCCACCGTGCGCAGCTGAGTTTTGTATTTTTAGTAGATATGGCGTTTCACCACATTGGCTAGGATGGTCTCGATCTCTTGACCTTGTGATCTGCCCGCCTTGGCCTCCCAAAGTGCTTGGATTACAGGCCTGAGCCACTGTGCCTGACCCAAAGGACAGGTTTTGCATTTGCATTTTCCTCTCCTCTCATCTCTCTTCTGGGCTCCCAGTTTGTGCTTTGGCTTGAGAGTTCCCCACTCTGCCTCTTTAACACCTTGTGTTTGTTGTCCTCTGTCTCTTCTTCCTTTCCTCTCCCCTTCTTTTCTTTATAGCATGACTGCAGACTTGCCTTTTTGTCTTATTTGCTTGGTGTCTGTGACTCTCTGCCCCTCTTCTCTTTTTTATTGCCACCCTCCCATCTCTGCCCATGCGCCCTTCTCTCTGAATTGCCTTCTGTCCAACCTCTTTCTTTCTCTCCTCTATCTGAACGTTGAGTACACTTGTGAGTGACGAGGAATAAAAATATCACCGTCCCTGCCCTTGGATTCACATTGCGTTCAGCCACTCCAGAGGGGCAGCTGTCCGTACCTTTCCTACCATTGCCCCCCTACCCGTGGCCCTCCAACCTGGGAACCCCAGACAGGTCTCTGGAGCCGTCACAGGTGCTTCCTAACAGCTCTTCCTCCACAACCAGGGTATCTCCCAGAGCCCCAGCTGGTGTGGCCAGGCCCCAGGAATAGGATGGGGCTCCCCCTACGAGGGCCGGTGGCAGCCAGAACTGATACAGCCCCTTTGGTCTGGGGCCAGGACACCAGGTAACTCTGGGGAGATGGCCCAGGTCCTGGCAAGCTGGAATATGGCTGGGGAGAAGGGCAGAAATACCTTTGGGAGTCTCTCAAGACAGTGACATTTGGGAGGAAAGCCAGGAGTGTGAGAACTGGGTCCTTGAGAGGCTGGGTGGCTCTGGGGGTGATATGAAGAGGCTGGTTCCGGGAAGAAGCTGGGAGACAATGTCTTGGTCCCCCCCAGTGGCTCTGACCCTACCATACCTTTTTTTGTCCTCCAGCTGAGGAGGGCAGGAGTGTCTGGAGCCATGGCTGGTGCCTCGGTGAAAGTGGCAGTGAGGGTTCGGCCCTTTAACGCCCGTGAGACCAGCCAGGATGCCAAGTGTGTGGTCAGCATGCAGGGCAACACCACCTGTGAGTGAGTCCCTGGGGCCTGACTGGGCACAGTCAGGGAAGGCTGAGCCCACCACACAGGCCAGTCCCACTGGGCCAAACTAGGGGGAGAGCTGGGCTGGGCACAGAGCAGGTGCTAGTCATAAGGGCGGGGGCTGGGGCAGGCTGGCCTTTCCCATGTTCCCAGTCCCTGGGAGGGGGAATGTTGGCCTGGAGCCCTCCATTGCCCAATCCAGGGAGGCAGCTCAGTGGGGGCGGGTCCTAGGAAGCCAAAATTAGCTTTGGTAGCTGGAGGGGGTGGGGAATATCAAAGGGGAGAGATGAGTCAGGACAGTGGTGGGGAGTGGGATGCTTGGATTCCAGGGGCTGGTGGGGATGTGGGCAGGGGCTGGGAGTACCTGACTCTGACTTTCCTTTCTTTACCCTCTCCTACCCCTCAGCCATCATCAATCCTAAACAGAGCAAGGATGCCCCCAAAAGCTTCACCTTTGACTATTCCTACTGGTCACACACTTCGGTGAGGTTATTGGGCTGGCTGAAGAGCAAGGCAGTGAGAAACAGTGGATTTAGGTCCTGGGGAGGGGACATGTTAAGACGTAGGACTTCCAGGGGATTAGTCAGGCTGGATTGCAGGGTGATCCTGGGTAGGGGTGGTAGGACCCTTGGGCTATGATTGAGGTCCCGAAGGGGAAGGGAGAATCCCTTGGGGCAATTAGGACTAGCAGGGGCTGGATAGGATCCTCTGGGCGATTAGGACAATAATGGGGATGGGAGGGCACACAGGACCTTTGGGGAATCATCAGTAATGGAAGCAAGACCCTTGGGACAGAGACAGGAAGGATGAAGTCATCCAGGGTTCCTTCTCTTTTTCTCTGCTGCTGCTTTCTCCTAGGTGGAGGACCCCCAGTTTGCATCTCAGCAACAAGTGTATCGGGACATTGGAGAAGAGATGCTGCTCCATGCTTTTGAAGGCTACAACGTGTGCATCTTTGCCTATGGGCAGACTGGGGCTGGGAAATCCTATACCATGATGGGCCGACAGGAGCCAGGGCAGCAGGGCATTGTGCCCCAGGTACTCCCAGGACCTGGTGGGGCAGCCAGGGCAGGAACTTCTTTAGCTGCCCTCTGAGAGAGGAAGGACCAGGGTCTGAGGATTAAGAAACAGAGACCTGGCTCTGAGGCCACTGGTGAAAGGCAATGTAATGGGAGATAGAGGCTGATTGCAAGCTGGACAACCCTTTGGGGTGGGGGGGAGGTTTTGCCCCATGAGAGACACGCCTCAGTGAGAAGAGTGAGGCTTTGGCATCAGTGAGCCAGTTTTACAACTTACCACTGTTTTACTTAGTTTCATGATAATTCATGAGTATGGTTATCCTACAGGCTTGTGTACCACCGGCAGGGTGTTAACTGTAGAAACGCCGGTAAGGATAACAGAGTTAACTGCAATTGTCCCTGACTGTGCAGCATAGTAACCTGGCACACAGGCTTGGGAGTCAGGATGCCTGGGGTTTGCACTCTGGCTGGCTGAATGCTAGCCTGTGATCTTGGGCAAGTGGGAACCTTTCTGAGGTTGTTTTCCCATCTGTAAAATGGGAATAACCCCACCCTCAGGGCTGTGGCAAGGGTTCAGTGGGGTCACTGTGGCTGGACACTTCAGGTATGCCCTGAACAGGAGTGTCTTTGTTTTTCTGTGTCCCTCTCCAGCTCTGTGAGGACCTCTTCTCTCGCGTTAGTGAGAACCAGAGCGCTCAGCTATCCTACTCTGTGGAGGTAAGCCCAGGTCTCAGTTGCAGGGCTGAGAGGGGATCCAGGCTGCTGAGGACAGTTGCTAGAACCGGATAACCTGGGATCTAATCCTGTCTGATGGTTACCAACTGTGACTTTGGGTAGTGATTCTGTCCTTCAGCTTCATGTGTTCATCTGTGAGATGCTAATGATCGGACCTACCTCCTAGCTTGTTGCGCAGGACGCTGAGCCAGCATCTGCAGAATGTGTTGCACCGTGGATTAGCTGCAGTCACTGGATCGTGTCCAGTGGATTCAGATCAAGTTTCATTGTCAGTGTTGTTGCTAGTTTTGTTACTTCTAATTTGCTTCTCCCGCTCAGGTGAGCTATATGGAGATCTATTGTGAGCGGGTACGAGACCTCTTGAACCCCAAGAGTCGGGGTTCTCTGCGGGTCCGGGAGCACCCCATCCTGGGCCCCTACGTGCAGGACCTGTCCAAATTGGCTGTGACCTCCTACGCGGACATTGCTGACCTCATGGACTGTGGAAATAAAGCACGGTGAGGCAGGCTGACAGAGCGGAGGGCAAGGGAGCCAAGACTGGGAAGGTGAGAGGCAGAATCCAGTGACAGCTCCCTTTGCCCCCAAGGACTGTGGCTGCCACCAACATGAATGAGACCAGCAGCCGTTCCCATGCTGTCTTCACCATTGTGTTCACACAGCGCTGCCATGACCAGCTTAGTGGGCTGGACTCGGAGAAGGTGGGACCCCCCTCCCCAACCTCCCTTGGCAACAGGAACAGGACATGGTAGAAGGGTCTTGGGCCCTCTGCCAATGCTGGGTTGAGTGCCTCCTTAAGACTTCCATGACCGCCCCCTACCCAGATTAATCTGTCCCCCTCTACTACTGTTTACTTTTTTGGTTTGTCCTTTTTTTTTTTTTTTTGAGATGGTGTCTCGCTCTGTCACCCAGGCTAGAGGGCAGCGGTGTGATCTTGGCTTACTGCAACCTCTGCCTCCCAAGTTCAAGTGATTCTCCTGCCTCAGCCTCCCGAGTAGCTGGGATTACAGGCACATGCCACCATACCCAGCTAATTTTTTGTGTTTTTAGTAGAGATGGGGTTTCACTGGGTTAGCCAGGATGGCCTCCTTCCCCTGATCTCGTGATCTGCCTGCCTAGGCCTCCCAAAGTGCTGGGATTACAAGCATGAGCCACTGCACCCAGCAGGTTTTATTTTTGTTTTTTTTAGACAGAGTCTCTCTCTTGTCCAGGCTGGAATGAAGTGGTGCAATCTTGGCTCACTGCATCCTCCACCTCTGGGTTCAAGTGATTCTCCAGCCTCAGCCTCCTGAGTAGCTGGGATTACAGGCATGTGTCACCAGGCCCGGCTAATTTTTGGTATTTTTAGTAGAGATGGTATTTCGCCATGTTGGTCAGACTGGTCTCGAACTCCTATCTCGGGTGATCCACCTGCTTCAGCCTCCCAAGTGCTGAGATTACAGATGTGAGCCACTTTGCCCAGCTGTTCTTTTTACTAGACCCAGGACAGGGCTTGGATCCCCCTGTATGTCCCTTGTCCCTGCCTGCGGTGGACTTGTAGCTATTTGTAATTGAGTGAGTAACCACCGTCTCACTGTTGTCATGTATTGTTTCCCCTGGTCTCCTC